AGCAACATCACTAAGTTCCTTTTGAATATAACAAAGTAGTTGAAAACAAGAACATTAGTCAAATGGTTTATCTCTTCTAAAGATCCATCAACAATGAGATTAACATAACACAAATGGGTCTCACCCTCTTTGGAAATCAACGAAACAAGCTAATCGTTTTCCCAAAACATATCATTGTGGTAAATATTGTAACTTTAGGGTTCATCAATTAAGGTTTCAGAAAAGTGAGAGTTACACCATGAATTGGTTTATTAACACATGAGAAAAGTGAGAGTTGAGCATTAACATAAGAGTAATATTATTTTTCATTAATTAATCAAACTCCTCATGAGATACATGAAATACAAATAACAAAAATACAGAGACAACATGTTGAATCAACTATTTCTCCATATCTATTCCATAAAATTTGAGAAAGTATTTGCATAAAAATTCATAGATAGAAAATCGAATTAAATTTATCACCGAATCAAATCGTGTATGAACGAAGAAGCAAAAATCAAAAGGAAATAACCATGTAGTTGGTTATATGAGGAATTGAATTGAAACCTAAGTTCTATGTCAAAAGCAAAACAAGAGTTAGAACAAATCATGGAAAAGGAAAACCAGTAGATGAATCAGATATTGCTAACCTGTTATGTGAACAACAACGGTAGTAACGTCTGAACGACGAAATCAACGGTAAAGGAACAGACAGAGAAATCCATGGCGAAATCAATGGCAGTAACGAGGACGAAGGTGCGTGAGGACGGATGACGGAGGACAGAGGACGAAGGACAGAGGTGCTTTTGGTTTAGGGTTTTTCATTAGAGAAATAGTGCTTTTGTGAATAGAATAGAAGAGAAACAGCAAAATATGTTTTTTAATTTTAATTATAAATGACTTTAGTCAGCACTTCTGTGAAGCGCTGTCTAATATGGGTATTTAGCAACACTTTCTCTTTCTTTAGCAGCGCTTTCTAATATGGGCCTTTAGCAGCGCTTCATGCGTAGGCCTTTAGCAGCGCTTTTAAGAAGCGTTGTCTAATGTGGGCCTATTAGCAACGCTTTGGAGAAGCGCTTTATAAAGTGGGCCTTTTAGCAGTGCTTTGGAAAAGTGTTGTCTAAAGTGGGCCTTTTAGCAGCGCTTTTACATAATTTCGTTTATAATTTGTGTTTTACTTTTTATTTAACTTATAGCAGTGCTTTTGGAAAAAAGCGTTGTCTAAGGTGCACTGCCTAAAACCCTTTTTGGCGTAGTGATTGATGGATTAAGAGTATACATTTCCCATCTTTTTTGCTCAACTCATGATGATCAGTCTTCCACGCTTCTGTTGCATTAGCTTTCAATGTTGAGAGCACATCATTCACGATTTCACGCACATCTTGAAATCTTAATTTGCACGCACCACCTGTCACAATGTTCTCGTTTGAACATTGGTAGATTTGTAAGAAATTTATTAAAGATTGTGCTTCCATTTTCTATTGATGAAAGCTAAAATCAAATTGGTGTTGTTGATACCAATATGTTAGGGATTACGTATCACACAAAGTAATAGACATAAGAAAGGATGGATGAACAATGGTGGTATATTTCATTCATCTTCCAAAAATAGAAGTTACAACATTTATGTAACATGTTGGTTAAACAACCAGTCTAACTAACTAACTATCCTCGATAGTTAGTTTAATCTACTAACACACTTAGTTATAAACTCACTAACAGAACTACATACTCGCACATGAGTATAGTATATCTAAGAAACTAACTGTTTCGTTGATATACTTGTATGATAGTACAACTACTTCATTAATATACTCGTACGAGGGTATAATATAACTATTTCATTAAACTACTAAGATTGAATTACAATATTATAAGATATACCAAAGATTAATTTTTAAAATATTTCAATAAATATTCACTTGGTAAAATTATATTTAAAATATGTATAGAAAATTTTTGAATATGGTTACCACAGTCACTCTAATATCACTTTTCCGAGTACATCTTTTTATTAGGTGAAATTAATACATTTGAGTTTCACTAATTTATGTAGAATCTATTGTTAAAATAGTGCATTTCATTTTCAAATGTAAATGAAAATGAAAATATGTTAAAGTGATCGTGTATACACGATTGAAAAGTTTTACAGTGATAAGAAAATTACTCAAGGGCCATCTTTACATTTTAATCCTATATATCAATCAAATAATTGGTTAGAGACATTAATTTATAAAACAAATGTTTAAAGACAGTGAACTTCATTGACAGATGACAACCCAAAGCAAATTCACATCCAATGTTTGAAAATGGTGTTATTGACTTATTTTAGAATACCAACTTTGAGTCAACCAATATGAACAATCTTGTTCATTTCGATGCTATCTTGTTTATGTACCAACAAAAAATAGTAAACAATTGAATCAAACATGAAACCAGCTGAACTTGACAATCCCCATGCAAGTGGGAAATCTTGATACTTACATTTTTTAGTTGACTTATGAACATGTCCTTGAACCCTATTGGGATCTGTGTTTGATCCAAAAAAAATAACATGGCAGAGTTAGCCAACTAATTCAAGACCCTTATAATAAACCAGCATTAATTAAGATTTCACGTGCAATCTTTAAGATTAAATTAAACTAATGTTTACTATAGTACATAGTAATCTTAATATATCCAACATTAGAACACGGATTGTGGCGATGTTGGGGGCGTGAAATAGTTGAATTGAGCTGTGTTTTTTGACCCGTGTATGCATATATCTTTGTTTGCCTAGCTAGAATAAATTGTATACAACCAACATCACACATTACACGTATATAGTATTATTTTATAATACAATCACACACTGTGATAAATTAATTATGTCAAAATTTAATGTTCATGTGAGGATGGAGTTTATGTAAGCTGTAACTGAGATCCCAAGGGATCCTTTACTTTTTCTTTTCCTCTAACTGCGCCATACTTGAGGATCCAAACGTGTATTGCAATGCTACTAGTTTAGCCCTAAATATTTGCAAGACTGGGTTTGGTTTAATTCATTATCTAATAATAAAAATCTCAAGGGAAAATTTGAATCCTAAATATATGTATATAGTTTTGGCAATAAGGACACCTTAGGTGACAACCCTACCATTCAACATATTAATACCGCTCATTTATGGCATTTAACTTATTATAATTGACCCATCGGTGGCCATTATTATTCAATAATTCATCCATGTCCTACCTCTCTACAGACTTAAACAATTTTCATAAAAGTATTGTCAACCAGAAAAGTCATGTCCTTATGTTTTCTCCAAATGCCATCTGATTCATTTGTTGTGTTCACAACAATCATTTCTTTTCTTCATACCCCTACCCTCCCAGCTGGTCCATCCCAAACAACCAAACCAAGCTAATACAAACAAAAAAAATACTAGAAAATCAATTACTTGCAAGTTGCTAAATTTACCATTGCAACTCTTCTAGTAAAACACTTTCATAACTCATGATTTTTCTTTAGAGATTAATTAAATATAGCATCATAGCATCATAGCATCGTAGGACATCTGTCTTTACTTTTAGTCGTACCTAACACAATTGATGTTGGAAAATTTAGGTTGTTGTTAGTATTATATTACTAACATCATAATAATTTTGTAAAAAAAAAAAAAAACATGACAATTAATTTTTTTGCTTCTTTTTTGTATGGAGATTCTTAACTAGATACTTTTGAAACTAATGCACACGGTTTATTGTCCTATTGTGGGGTAAAATGGAAAGAGTCCTACGGAGTATACAATAACATGTTTTTATTGTTGCTAAAATCCTTAATAAGAGCTAAAATTGTTTATTTATTGATTTTTATTATTGTTGAGAAATATTGAAGAATTGATATATCATTGTCTTGATAGTCCAATGTATGTCCTATCCCTCGACCGTAACTGAAATCAGTAATATGTGGGCCACATGAGTTGGTTGGTACTAAGTACTTACACTATTTGTTTTATCGTTGGACTGCAGTTGCTCATTAGTTTGACTGTCTCAAAACAGGCAAGTAATTAATTTACCATTTCTCCTGCAAGCATACTGGAACTAGTACTAGTTGTAAAAACACTCTTTTCAAGCAACTAAATCTAGTTATGATTTTTATAACTTTTAGCTTCCCATCTATAACGTGTCTCGTGTTTAATATGCGTATGATATTTAAGATATGTTAAATTGTCGATCTTTGACATATATATGTCAATCTAAAACAGTCTTTTAAGGTTGTACAAGTAACACTACATCACAAGGAATTTTATGACCTCCAACTTTTGATCGATAACATTGTCTAGTATTTAACATGGGTCTGATATTCAACATATGTCAATTTAAGAGTGTCTCTGAGAGTTGGTCAAAGCGGGTTATAACACAAGACCTCAATAGTTAAGATAGGTCGGTCTTTAACATACATATGACACTTTAAAATTGTCTTTGAGAATGTGTAAGATGAATTACAGCACAATACCTTAATTTTTCCACGTGATTGTTTTGTCACGGATGAACCATTACTAACTTACACAGACTTTTCGAAAATTTAAAATAGATATAAGCGTTCATGTTCGTAAGAGTGTTTTGTATGTTAAAACAAATATATTGATTTCATGCAAGTATGCTCAACCGGATAAAATATTCAGTGAATTGAAACTAAAGAAACTTGAAAGTTCAATGAAGAAAATCAAAGACAAGTTCTAAGATAAAAAATCCTTGATAGAAATTCATTCATAGTTACATAATCCCATAATCAGAAGAGGGATTCTCCCTCACTGTCTTAAACAAGTGCAAGTTAAAGAAAATATTACCCTTTAGTTCCTCAAAGGGTTTATTCAGTTGCAACAAAAAACAGAAAAACATATTTTTCAGAACCAAAATAAGCAATATTTTTCTTAACTTGCACCTAAATAGAATTATGCGAAATCTAAAAACAACAAATAATACAATACAACAAAGGAAATCTGTTTATAAGAATAGTTAGCTCCTTGATCAATGTCTTATGAAGCCATGCATAATGTTGTAATATTTTCTGTTCCAACAATATCAGTCTTATGTTGTTGTTGATCCTTGTACCAAGGTGACCCTGCATCAGAAGAATTCTCAACTGGTTCAGAAGAAGAAACATTCGATGTTTTCAAACACGTTTCAGATAAAGAACCACTCTTTGAAATATTCGATTCGTTGTTGTTTTCTTCGGTTTGAATGAGTTTTCCGAACAACAAAATGTGTTTGTGGGGTGCTTTTGCTTCAATATTGGATACTTCCTTAAAACTTTGACCAGAATTTCCCACACTCAACAAGCAAGACAAGTCAACAGTGTTGTTAGTATTGTTGTTGATACTCTTGTAAGGCCTAATAACAGTTTGTTGTTGATTGAATCTCGACAGTGACAAATTACTAAGAAACATGTCATGGTGAAGCTTGCTGAATGGAAAATCAGATTGGTTGTTTTGTCCAAATTGAGCATGCCTGGCTCCCTGTATGCTTGACGCAGAATAACTATTAGTCGTAGTAGTACTATCTTGAATGTTACAGAGAGACGAGTTCGCGTAATTGAGAAGATTAATGTTGGAGAACGACGACGTTGATGATGTTGTTGCTGTTGTTGGCATTGGCAGTTGGTTTATGAGATGAAAATATGGATCTTGGATAAACCTCGGTTTCTTTCTCGGTGGCGTGAATGGCGAGAGGTTGAAACTCGGCATGTTTGAAACTAGTTCAACTAACCAAGGGTTTACACATTTCACATTTTGAAGCAAATCTGGTTCATCCCACACTACCTGAAAAAGAAAACATGATAAACAAGAAAATTTAGAACAATGACTTGAACCTAATTTGATACGAACGGTAACTAACACTTAATAACTTGGTAGTTAGTACTAGAAAGAACAATTGTGAGCATTGAAGAGAAAAGAGTAACTCATAGTTCATATCATTTGGAACTTTTAACTTGTATTTATAGTAACAAATATTTTGATTAAATTGTTGCTTAGAATCTCATTCACCTAACATAATAAGTCAGTTTCATGCAGTAAAATGTTAAAGTGATAAACAAGTACTAATTGTTTGTATCAGAAAAAGCATCACAATCTGACAAACTGTAAACTGTTACTTGTGCATTGAATTCAACAGTACAATAACAGTAAATGAGAGAAAAAAATAGTCAACATTTCAGAATCAACGAAAGGTTATTGTTGTTACCTGAAGAAGACGCCAAGGAGAATCAGCCCAACGAATTGGATCTTGAACTTTAACAGAAGAAATAGTTCCCATAAACCAACTGATTCTAGAAGAATCTTCGGTTTCAAATGGCATTTTGAATCTCATACCAGAACACCATTGAATTTGCATTGCAGATTTAACAGAAGAAACCTTAACACAAAACTCAGGAGTACTAGCTCTTGGATAATACACAACCTCAAAGGATCTTCCATTCACAGCACAGTTCACAGCTTCAATAACAGACTCAGAAGCAACTCTTCCTATTCCACACAAGAAATTACCAGCACCAAACAAAGGTGATGATGATACACGGTTCCAATTACCAGAAGAATTGGAAAACTGATCAGTTCCACCGCCGATTCCACCTTTCTTTGCTCTCCTTATACCAACACAAAGATCTCCATTTTCAGCTCTCAAAAACACAATCGAATCACCAGCAACAAGCTTCTTATGATTCACGAAATTGCTCCAACCAGTAGTCAAAAGATGTCTCCTCGGTGTTCCTCTATAGATATGCCGAAACTTCCAACACTGTCCATGCATATCCTTCGCAATAATCGTCTGAACAGGTGGTTCTGCAGAGTAATCCAATCTAGGAAAAATAGTCTCAGCGCAGTATCTCGGAACTGAGAACCCCCCACCATTGTTGGCATCGGATTGAGTCAATGTCTTGGCAAAAGAAGCAGGCTTTTCTTGACCCTCTAAGCCATTGTTTCCGATGAAACAATCTTCTTCTGAACCCATCTCGTTTTCTCTTAAAGGAGTCAATCTCATTTTCACATACACTTCATCAGTATCAGCATCAGCCATGTATTTCATGGCAGAGATTCTACAAAGGATAAGAGCTGGAACGCGCGTTTTGCTGAAATCTACTTTGCCATGAGCGTGTTCTGCGTGACCTTGAGGAAAGTAAAAGACTCTTGTGTTGAGTGGTGGCATTTGAACCATGGCACCAGCACAGGCATGCCATAGTTGAGAATCTAAGCACTTCTCAGATGTTTTTTCCATGGAATCCATAACTACAAACATGTTTTGGGAATGGTGGATGAGAAAAAGGGAGAGAGTGATGTTGTGGGAGAGAGAGAGAGAAGAAAAAGAGTGGTGAGTGAGAGAGAGTTCCAACTTTTTTATGTATAGATGAAGACAGGAACAGAAACACCTCACATACACACTCTCTCTCTTACGCGAGTTGCCGACCAGAATGTGAATTCGACAGACATGACTAACATGAAAATCGATGTCACAATTTAATGTGCATAATAACAAAATAACCATATTCAAATCAATTAATATTTTCTAGACAAAGATAAATAGTCAATAAACATTTATAGTATTAAATACATATATAAATTTCATAATAGTATTTTAAAATGCAAATAATATTTAACATGCATTTAAATGAATATTAATAGTAATATCTATAAAAAATCAAAATATAGTCCCCCAAAAAATCAAATACTTCCTCCAACTTTTGTTATAAAACATAGTTATACATTAACGACTATTTCAAGAATTATTTGTACTGATAATTTATAATAAATAATTACAATTTTGGGTTATTTTGTTTTTTCAGTTTTGGTCCTTCATTTTATAAATTTTATTTTTTATTTTTTTTATTTTTTTTAGAATTTTAATTTCTCTTTAATAGTGAGAACATTAAAAATATTTGTAATAATATGACGTTCATCTGAATTACTTGTTGTTCCGAAATCATCATAAATTTATTCTAACAAATTTATTTTATTTTATATTTAAATTAATTTAAATTTAATTTTTTTTTAATATATTAATATATAGTAATATCAAATATAAAAAAAAACATAAATAAATCATATATGTTAGTCTATCCAGTCCAAAAAAATCATAGGATTTGAACTTTAAATTAGAGCTATATTTTTAAAGGAGAATTTCTTATGGTATCTTATATAAAGGAAAAATATCCTACGCGAAATCGAAAATGTTCTCCGAAATGTATTTCCAGGACGTACCCTTCTCTTATCAACTCAAGTAAAATTTCGTGACTCCCTTATTTAATGTAAGAAATATGTTGAAAATGTAACATGGTGACAAACCGGAGATACATATATGAGAAATTTGTGTGGGAAAAACCAAAAAAAATTGTCACCTATAAATCGGATATACATTTTCAATTTAGACTGAGAATCCAAAAGCTTAAAACATCAAGGTCCATGGGGTATTGATCATGGTCATTTCAAAAGGTGACCAAAATACTCTCCAAGAAACCCTCTCATTCTCAATACCATTTTTCATTCAAAATCAACATTCTTGTGGTGCATTATATCAAAAGGAGTTAAAGGAAACTGAATTTAAGGTAAAGCTTCCTCTTTTCAATCTACATTAATCACATTAATCTGTTTATTTTATGAAAAAAATGTCACGTTAATACCGGAGGTATATTTTCGATTTTCAAATGAACTTAACCGGAAATGTACTTCTGGTTCTTGTAACATCTTTTTTCAGCAACTTCATTTTCTTATTTGCTTAGATTTTTTTTTGTTTAATTTGTTTTTACATATTAGGTATGGTGTATCCTGATAATTGTCCCAAAGTTATTGTGTCTCAAGGTGTCTCGCTTATTCTTTCTCAATGTGTTTCTCCTATTGTGTCTCAAGGTGTTTCTCCTATTGTTATCAAGGCGATCGATGTGTAGAAGCATTTTATAAATGAACAAGAATATGAATCTCGAGATGTCATGATGCAGTGGATTCATATGGAGGCCACCAAACAAGGCTTTAGTGTTATGATAGGAAGGTCCGATAGTGGTTCAGATAGACGACCTGAATTTGTGACATTGACATGCGAAAGAAGTGAGATATATAGGCGGCCTATCAAGAATTTCAAAAGAGATGATACTGGTCCAAGAAAATGTCAGTGTCCATTTAGGCTACGTGGGTATCGAATAGAAAATAATAGTTGGAAGTTCAATGTCATAAGTGGTTTACATAATCATAATTTAAGTGCAAAGTTAGCCGGTCATCCAAGTGCATGTCGCCTCTTGGAAAAAGAGAAGGAATGTGTGTCCGACATGACACTAAACTTGGTCGCTCAAAAAAACATACTTGCCACGTTGAAGCGCAAAAGACCCGATAATATTTCAAACATCAGGCAAGTTTACAATCAGCACTACCAAGCAAAGTTGGCGCTTAGAGGGGATCGAACCAAAATACAACAACTCTTAAAGCTTTTAGATGATTACAACTAGGTTTGTAGTCACCGAAGATGTGAGGATGGAGTTACCGTAAGAGATATATATTAGACTCATATTGATTCCATTAAATTGTTCGATACATTTCCTACCATGCTTATAATTGATTCGACGTACAAGACCAATAGTTACAAGTTGCCATTGTTGGAATTTGTCGGTGTTACATTGACTGAAATGACATATTCCATTGGTTTTGTATTTCTAGAGTGCAAAAAAGAGAACAGTTTTGCATGGACTTTAGAGGTTTGTCGTTCAATGTTAAAGGATCAAGAAAACATGCCAAAAGTCATAATTACCAACCGCGATACAACATCAATGAATTCTATTACGAAGGTGTTTTCGAGTTCTTTTGCATTACTTTGTAAGTATGACATTACTAAAAATGTGACAAGCCGGGTAAAACCAGTGGTAGGGACGAGTTAAATTCGGATTGAAGAGGGTAAGCTAGTTAAGTTGGGCATTGTTGTGGAGAAAATTATGGCTGCTTGGAATGTTATCATAAATGCATATACCAAAGATTTATATGTTGAAGTTGTTATACATTTCAAGAAGGTGTGCAATAAATATCCCAATTTGTTTAAATACGTTGAGACTACAATTTTGGATCAGGTGAAGGAGAAGATTGTTTGTGCATTGACATATCAGGTTATGCATCTTAGAAATACAACAATAAACCAAGTTGGGTCAGCTCATGCATGTATAAAGAATTGGTTGGGAAATATCAAGGGTGATTTGTGTACGGGTTGTGTATCCGTGAACCAAATGATACTTAACCAGCATAATGAAATTCAAACATCATTTAGTCATAGTGTCACAGTGTTGGAACACAGGTTCATAGACAACCTTCTTTATTCTTAGTTGATTGGCAACATATCACAATTAGCTCTTAATTTCATTTTTTATGAAGCCAAACAAGCCTCTGACTTAGGCTCTGATACCTCTAAGTGTGGTTGCACAATTGCGAAAACATATGGTCTCCCGTGTACTTGTGTCATATCTAAGAAGGTGAAACTTGATATCCCGATACGAATGAACGAAGTATGTAGTCATTGGAAGAGGTTGAGTTTTAAAGACAACCGTACAATGGAAAATGGAAAGTCAAGTATCACAATCTTGACAGAATGGGAAGAAATACAAGAAAGGTTTAGGAAAGGTGATGACAACACAAAACTCCACATCAAAGAGCAATTAAGGAAAATTTCATTTCTGAAGACAACGGACTTGAAACCACTATCTCAACCGGTTAAAACAAAAGGAGCACAAAAAAAGGTCAAACCTACACCAAGTGAAAATTCTACTATGAGGAGTCCATCATATTTTGAACACGTTGACAAACTTTTTCCTGATTTACCGACACCGAAATCTCAAAAAAGGTCTTCAAATGTGCTCGCATAAGCAAACCTCAAACTCCACCGCCTCCACCAAAAATACCATTCATTGAAGAGATGTTATTTTTTATGCACAATCACATTGATCGGATCGTCAATGTTAATGGTGATGGAAATTATGGTTTTCGGGCTATTTCTGCTGTACTCTGTAAAAGGGAAGAGGATCACACACTTGTCCGCCAAACTCTTATCCAAGAGTTGAGGAGCCATAGAGATTTGTACATACGAGTGTACAAGGATAAGAATAAGTTTGAAGAAATCTATAACGCTCTTGTACCATTTATGGAAGCATTTGCACCAGAGAACAAATGAATGTGTTTCCCTGATATGGGTCATCCCATTGCAAGTACGTATGAGAGGATGTGTATTAATCTTACAAGATACAGTTTCTCAAAAACCTTTTTTCCATTGCACATTGCTCCAACATCTAATTCTACTAATCGTATCATTTGTGTTGGGTGGGTATCAAATCCCCGACATTTTATTCAAGTGTATTTGAAACCGGGATGCCTTATACCATCTACATCACCAGAGTAGATGAATCATTATAAATACCAATTCGAGACTTGGTCGGACCATTTCATTGAAAGAATGCAAGAGTACACCAAGTTGAAGAACACTGAATAGAAAAAAACAAGGAAAAGTCAAAGGGTGTACCACCTGTGGATTTGTCGGGACACAATTAACTCGGATCTTTTAAGTAGTTAAATATGAATTTGATGTATATGTCTTTTTGTTAATGAGTTATGACATGGAATATTCTCATTTTGGTAATGTATATGCCTATTGTTATATTTTCATGCAATCTGCTTGTTCTGTTATTTTTCTGTTTCTGATTTTTAATACCAGGGGCTTTGCCGAAAATTTATTTCTGGTTTTCAAGTTCAGGTGTAAACTAGAAATACATTTCCGGTTTACATTCTATCAACATATAGGATGTGTGTGGTCCATAACATCCTTAAACTACTATATAAGAAACCCATCCCTCTCCCTCGTGTTATCTCATGTCTAAACACTAAAACAAAAATGAATATCGTTTGGCATGTTGGAAAGGTTCGTTTCGTTAATGGAGATCTACCATCAAGGAAATTCAAGACCAACATGTACGAACCGCTTAAAGATCTTCATTACACAATACAGGGACTTTTACCATTTGGCGAAAATCAGAAAATTTTGAAGATTGAGTACCTCTCTCCGTCCATTAACAATGACGAAATGATTGAGTTCGTCAACAAAGAGATGCAGACAAGCACTAATTTACAGGCTATATAGGAAACCTTTTTCAATTACGACAAAAAAGTTCAAATCGAGCTTGATGTGATGATTACAAGAACGGTCGATGAAATTTTAAAGCTGTTGCAATGTCCACCCGGATGTTGAAGTGTAATGTCACATATATGTTTAAATCCCATATA